GGCGGCCTGGCAGACAGAGCCATTGGGTAAACGAGCCCCAGGTGTCCCACACTGAGTCACCCAAGGTCAGGTGTCCCCCGTAGGAGAACAGCTGGGACCCCTTGCAGGAGCAGGGCAGTGTCTGTCTGTGAGGGGGATGCCCTGTGCAGAGTTCCCTGTTGGGGAAGGACCTCCCGCCTCCCTGGGACTGGGCTCCAGTCAGGTCTGGCTTTTGTAAACGTGGGCTCTGTAGGGATTCGGGATGGGGCTTCCTTGGTCTTATGTGTTTGGCTTGTTGGCCTGGTTGTCTCCCGTCCCTTCTCTGGGAGACTCTGTTTCACTGTTTATTGCACCATTGCTGGTCGTGCGGTGTCGTTGTTGGGATCATTGAGACTGATGTTGATTAGGTATAACCTGACTGACTGGTTTGTACCCCCAGCGCTCACCCATGGACTGACCCTTTTGTGTCAAGTACAGTCTGGTTATTGGTTCATCTTGATGCTGGCCGTGTCCTTTATGCTAGGCCTAATAATTGGCGAAACAAGGCTACAGTTCACAGCAGGAGCAAGCTACCAGGCTATAAATACTCTATTGCGAACTGCCTGGAAATTCATGGGTTTGTAGAACACTATCTAGCATTCTCAAAGTAAGTGAGACTGAATAGTGTGAGGAATGAGGCTGGCCTCTCAGTAAGCTGCATATGGATGTCTGCCTGGAGTTCAGAGCTGATCTCTTTTGGCAAAGGGCAGTAGTGGTGCTGTTAGTGTCTTGTAGTCCTCTGCTGCTGGAATTGCCATCCGTGATGCAGTATGTTTATAAATAAAGCTGTGTTTCTATCTGCAAGCTCAGCCTGGGATGTAGAATCAAGTTGTGTTTTTTCCGGCTTGCACTTCACCACTAATAATGCTGCTACTGGAACTTAGTCAAGAATTCTGTTGATTCAGAAGCCAGTAAAGAAACTCCCAGAACTATGTTGCCTTTGCAAATATGAGCAAAAGTTTTATATCAGCAAAGTGACTACGCATGCATACAGACCCAGATCATTTAAATGAAGGAAGGTGCAACTTTCATAAGTTACTCCTCGTTATTATCTGACAGGGTAAAGAGGGGCTTCCATTGGCACCTCAGCAGATTATTTTGTGATTTTTAAGGTGTACGTGTGGTAATTCATAATGTGCTGGAAACACAAAACTTCTATGAGAAACACTTTTAAGGAGTTAATAACTGAATACTGTCCAGGCATAAATCCTTTGCGCTAATCAAATGTAACACAACTCGGGCAACAAACCAGGCAACTCATGTAGACATGGTACATTTGACAGCTGTGTGACTTAAGTCTGGACAAACTGGTATGTATGCCTCAGATTCTCACTTTTTTAGCCGTGCTTCTAATATTAAGTCCTTTTTTAACAGTGCCAAGAGTGGTTGTGTGTTCTAATGTAATCTTAAATATATATTTTCTTAATTTAGCTGTGGCACTTTGTGCAGAAGCTCTACACAAGGAATACAATACCAATACTCATCTGTTTGAAACTGCAGTGGTGGAAACCCTTTAACCCTTGTGGTGATGTTTCATTGTTTAACTTTGCTGTTAAAGTTTTTCAGCCTCAATTTCCCTTGCTGATGCTTAATGCTGTTATGTCCAATTCCGCAGTACATAGAAAAAGATGTCTTTTGATTTTTCTTTAGGGTAATTTGTATTTTACCATGTGCGTGTAAATGGAGCAGTCTGGTTCTTTGTAAACAGATGCTGCTTTATGAGAGGCTTTTATACACCATCATAAGAGATGTGAAAACCATGAATCCATATACAGATGATTGGTAATGTCACTTTTGCAATCATTTCTTCTGATATCTTAACTCTAATATAAAAATACCTGTATTACTTCCCTTCAGAAAAGTTGTCATGGTGATATCTAATAAACTATTACTACTCATTAACTAGGGAATATAGTCAGCTTAATAGGATCTCTTATTGGCCATTGAGACTGTAGGAATACAAAAGAAAAAACAAACTCATGCATAAATTCAGCAGTGATATGTCTAAATTAAGACAAAACACTTCCGCAGAACACTTCAAAATTGGACATCAGTGTAAGTAAGCATTGTTGAAAATAGTTTTGTGTAGAAAATATATATATATTTGTGTATATATATATATATATATATATATTTGTATATATATACACTTTCCAAACTGACCTGGTAAAGGTACTGATCACTTCTGCTCTTTGCCATAAACCTGGAGATTCAGCCTGCTGGACTGATTTGAATACTAGAGAACAAGAACATTCTTCAATTGTTTCCTTCCTTCATTTGCAGAAAAAGTATTAAAACATTTATATAATACAGCTCAAATTTTTCTGTGCAAATAATCGAGCAGTATAATTATCAGCAGAGGGCAGTATTGAGGTAGAAATAGAATAATAATAAAGTCAAAAAAAAGTGTTGCCATGTTTTTTGTTTTGCTTCATAGAATCAGGGAATAATTTATGATGAAAGGGGTCTCTGAAGGTCATCAGGTCAATCCCTGTCTTAGCCAAATTCAAAGTTACATTCAATCAATACTGTCAGGGTAATGTGTCTGCATTGTTGGGCATTCTATAGAAGCTGCAATCAGATTACTTTTCTCTCCAAACCACTTTTATAGGCACTTGGTGAGACCGGATGCAAAGCATGCCCAGTGCTGAAGTGTAGTTATTTTGTCTGAAGAATACTAGAAGAAAATTGTTTAGCCGTTTTTGTTTGTGAGGTCAGGGAATAGTGTTTTTTAACAATCGCTCTTGCGTGTTCTCATCAGCTTTCATAATAATAGCCAAGCAGCTAAAAAAAAAAAAATCAGTCTTAGGAGTATTTTGTCTGTTACTTCTGCAAGGCAAGATTGACCAGCTATCTATGTAACTTCTGTTGAAACATGTCTTACTGTGGGTTTTTCAAGTATAGTTTATATAGTATTTGCGACTCAATAGTATGACTTTTTTTTTGCTACACCTTTATTGGAGAACTGAGATAGTGACAAGAAAAATTTACAGAAGTGAATATTGCTCTCATGTTTAAAAACTTTCTTTTCAAGATGTGTTGTATTGAATTTGTGGACAGATTTATAGAAATCAGAGGCTTCTCCAAATCAGTAAGTTTTATTAAGGAATTTTTTTTCTTTTTTTAATATAAACAGCCTGTCATCATTACTTGAATTAATTCCAGTTTCTTTTTTCTATCTGCTTGCTTATATTGGGTAAAATTTTATTGGCTAAAATGGTAAACTGTTGAATTTTGTAGGATACATAATTTTCCTTTAGTTTATTCAATTCTGCAGTGCTTTTCGAGAGTGTATTTCAGGTAAAATTGCAGACTTCCGAGCTGTGGAACAAATGTCTGTTATAAAATACTGAACATAGTGCTATGTTAGGGAGTTTACTGATACTCATGTCACAAAGTCAGTTATACAAATTATTAGTGCATCGTAATGGTTTTAAGACAATTGTTTTACTACTGTCTACACTCTGAGAAGCAATGTTGCTACATTTCAAGTCTCTGGTTTTCAATCTTTTTTTGACAAACAGTTACAATGTTTATTCAGATAAAATATTTGTGATTCTACATATTAAATAGAACTGCTAAAAAGGAGAACATGTGCGGTTTTAGAATTCTCTTTAGAGAATTAAAAAATTCTCCTAGAGAATTTTCTCCTAAAAATGCTTCTAGAAAAGTGAAGACTAAGAATACTGTGAAGTCACTTCTATGGGTAACACAAATGTTTGCCTACTCTTGTTCATGGCAAACCGCACAACTCATAAAGACATTGTCGGCATGTTAAAAGCACTTTTCCTTCACAGTTAAATCAACTAGGTTTGAAAGCTGTTTAGCTAAAATTCTGGCTCTTCCAAGTTGGCTAGCTACCCCTTTAACATAAGCAGTGGGGGCTAGTTACATCAGCAGTTTAGATTCCTGGCAACTATCCAAATGAATTAGTTTAAACTAGCTCAGGCAAATGGCCACAGGAGCCACATGCATTTTGAAGTGTTGCTGTGTATATATCCATGCAAGAGAAAATACCAGTGGATGTGGAATCTAGTCAGTGAGGGCTAGAAAGTGCTTCAGGGACCTTAAGGGGATACAGACTGGCCCTGAACTGTTCTGTTATCAGTACCCGGCAGAGCTGGAGTATGGGATGTGTTTCGGTTGTGATCAGAACTTTGGCAGGGATTAGATGATGTTTTATAAGCGTAGTTACGCTGCTTCAAGGCCTGCCCAGCTTGGGTGGGCAGAGTTTGCACATCAGCACTGTGCTTCCCCGCGTCTCTGGCTCCTGAAACAGCGTGAGACTGCTCTTTCTGCCATTGTTAAAATATCTCATTAGTGTAAAACTTGGAGACACGGCCAAACAAGTAGACAATATGTTTTGGTCACAGATTGTATTTGATGGATGGAAATGCTTGTCATGTAGTAATAATATAAAGTCAGAAAATGTATTCCCAGTTAGTATGTTATATTTTTTTTTAAATCAATATTTTTTTTTAATTGTGAATTTTCAAAATGCTGAAGATCTCTTTATTTTTTGATTAGGTAACTTCAGAGAATTTTTTTCTATTTCATTTCACTAATAAAGATTTTTATATTAAATATGCAGATAAGTAATACTAGCTGTAGAACACAGGTGGAATAAACATCTGTGAAGGTAACGTGGTAGTTGAGTGTGATGGAAGATGATGGCATAGAGGTGAGAAAATACTTATGCGGTGAGTTTTAAATGGTGTACAGTGTTGTAGACTTGGGGCCATGCAAGGCACAGAGAAGGAAAAATCAGTTTAGGATAACTGCTAGTGGCAATACTGTTTTTTCTGAGTACTGACTGAGACTGTAATGGCTGGGCTTTAAGCAACACGAAATTCCCAACTTGGCAGTCCCGGCTGTGCTACTGTGGGAAGGGCCCCTGCTGGAAACTTGTATTTCTTCTGCAGAAAATACAGCTCAAAAGGGCCAGTAGGGACAGTGATGAGGGACTGACCAAACCTTAACAATGTGGAAGTCATGAGCGGCACTCCCCAGGTACAGTGGTGAACAGCACTGTAAGCACTAGGCCATGCTGCACTCCTGACAGTCTGTCCTGCAGTGTTTGGAGTGTTCCTGGTGAAAAGGAACACAAGGTCACACCTTGTATCATCCATTAACTGAAAAGAGTTATGTGAAATTATGTGGGAAAGTGGCTGAATTATACCTGGTAGACTGCAAAAGGAGCATATCCCTAGTGCTTTCAGAGGTAGGTCCTAAATCCACAAAAAACAAGTAATGATTTTAGTTATGACCTTGGGAAATCGCTTATTCTGATTGATTAGGCTCAAGTACATAACGTTACAGATTCATGTAACATTCTGTGTCTGAGGTTCCTCTGCCTACCCCCCACCCCAAAGCCCAGCATGTTGCCCTCAAATGGCTGCCAAGTGGTTTTGTAATTGCATAATGGGATTCTATCATGTATACTCTTACAAAAAAAAAAAAGGTTACACATCATTGTCTGGTTTCACATGACAAGCTTTGCTTCATCTTTGTAGGAAATTATAGAGAGAAATTGGTGATCATTTCTGTTATATTGCACAGTTTAATTGCAACTCTTACGGTGACTTTTCCAGGAGGATGACCAATTGCTCTCTTGCTTAGTTTATATTCTGTTACTGTTCTAATGGGATGAGTGAAGAGAAGAGGATATTGCTTATTTTTACTTTCCTCTGCAGGGCTTTGGTTTGTGACACTTCTCTGTGAAATTATCCATATGTTTTCTTAGAAGTTTTCAGGGAAGAGTTAAATTCATTATTATACAGAAAAGGATGACATCCAAGGTGCTGCTCTTGTTTTGGCAACTTGAATTTTGTTCCAAAAATTTTGCTTAAAATAAAATCAGTGGGATTTACTGACAAGGATGTTTAAATGCTTCTTGTATTATGGAACAAGTTAGAGTGAATTTAAAATTCTTCCTTTCCCCAGATTTATTCTGAACATTTTTTAACAACAAAAAAAAAAAGTGCGGAGAAGGGGGATTTCTTATAAATGCTTGTAAGAGAACTTTTAAACATATGTTTCTTGGATTCCTGGAATTGGAAGCAACTGTATACTGTGCATCTTCCCAACTTCATGTAGCAAGTTATCTACAATAAACGTAAAAACAAACAGACTAGATCAGTATATCTCATAAGAAACGTTTTATGCGGGTGTTCTACCTCTGATCTGGAAATAAAATTGATAGGAATTTTCCATTTGTTTTGGAAAGACTAACACTGATAGTGGGAGATTATCTATGGGTTCTTTTATTAGTAAAATGTAGAAAGAGCAACTGTATAAAGGAAGGAAGCAAGCCTTTTGCCTTTCATTCAATTTGTTTTTTTTTCAGAAATGGTAAAATTAATAACTATATTTTCAAAAGTAAGAAGGTGTGTCTGTACCTGTTTCTGTACGATGCCTGTCTTAATGGGCTTCTGAGCTTGGTTATAGTCTGTAAATTCTACTATATTCTTTGGGTCAAGTTCTTAACCAGTAACTCAGCCCACAGATAGTGTTGCAAAAAATGCCATTAAATAAGTAGGAATGGAGGTTTAGTACCAAGCAGATGGTACAGCACTGATGAATAATTGGCGAGTTGATATTATTTAAGTAATCTATTTTTAAAGTTTGGGGGTTTTTTTATGCCTGAGATTCTGTAAAAAGTTAAAAAATAAACCTGAAATTCTGTATTGGTTGAATGTCTGGACTACCTTACGTTGCCACGAGGCAGTAAGCTTGACTTCTATGGACTCCTTATGGCTAAATCATTTGTTATGTTTTTTGTTGTTTTTTCCAGCATTTTCTCATGTCTGTGTTTGAAAACACATAAAGAACACCAATTCAAGGACCATCCAGCAAATATGCTGTATCTTGACTTAGCAGTTCAAAGGCCAGTGCTAACCCTGCTTACTTGTGAAGAAGATAGGACCATGATCAGGTAGTGCTTAAGCCTGTTAACTCCTTTAGTATGTGTTTTCTGCCAATGCACTAGTGTGTTCTGTACAGTATGTGTCCTGGGTGACATCAGAACAACCAAAACATTATATGTAATGCAAGGGATCAACCTTTTGGAGGCAAGGTTAGGAATAAAGATGCTTTACAGTCTGAGTGAGAAAGGGCTTTTTTCAACATACAATGTTCTATGCAGTGCTGCAAGCAAACACTGTATTAGTTTGAAAAATACAAACCTGCTACTGAACAGATGAAGGGGGAAAAAAGCGCTTGGATTAAATTCTATGCTGAATGTTTAAATGTCACACCTTCTTGTTCTGCTTTTGAAATGCTAGCCAGTTTGTTAAATCTGTTTTCTAAATGCAAAACTTCTTACTTGAAGGTGGATTTACGCCAGTGCCCATGCTGGAGGGTAGGAAGTGACAGGCAGCTGCTCCCACAGGCAAGAAGCTGGAGCCAGCAGTGTGGAATATACAGAGTAGTGGCATTGGTTGTATTGTTTGTGTGGACCATGTTTACTCCCTCATTAGGTCAGGTCTGAGGAATGAGGCTGACTGGTTTAAGAAATACAACTTAAAGTGGCTTTGTTTCCCAGATGCAGAAAGCTTGGAAGAAGGGGACAAAAAACCAGTAGCAGACAGACCTCTCCGAAGAGGGATGGAAGGGTGAGTCTAATTTCCTGTGGCAGGCAGAGGATGGGAAATCCTACCTCATACATATGAGTGATGGAGGTGGGGAGGAAAAGTCTCCTACAGAAAGAAAGCTTTGTGCGGGTGGAGGGTGGTGAAGCTGACTTTGTTATTTTTCTGGGAGATTTTCTCCCCTTGTTTTCTAGTGTCCAGATGTATTTGGGAAGCTGAAGGCTTGAGGTTTAGAATCTTAGGCCTAGAAATGTAGGTCTCTGCTAAGATGGGATCTGTCACACCTGGTTTATTCTTGTAAGTGTTCATGTTTGCATGAGAATAATTGGATGCAAGTGTTGAGTGTGAGCTTGTGACAGTCTGACTTGCCCCATGTTACATCTTAAAAGCAACAGATGTATGTTTGGGGGCTGTCTGTTTGGCTGTTGGTTTTTGTGTTTTTTTTCCTTTTGTGTGGTTTTTTTTTTCCTGGAATGAACCTTGGAAACAGAATTTTCATTTCAGTTATGAAGCACCTGTGAAAGCATTAACAGCATGGCACAGCCTTAGCCTCTTTTCCAATTCTGCCATTTCTATTCATGTGAATGTTCAACACTTGTGTATAAATGACTGCTAATGCATATGCTGCCTCATGGTTTACCAAATACCATGGGACATGCCTGCTAACCTCTGTGTCCATGTTGTATTTTGTGGTTTGCTTTTTTTCTACTTGACTAAAGTTTCTGGGTAAGGCTCTATCAAAAGAACAAGTGTACATACTATGGGTATTGCATGCCTGGTAAACTTTAAGGACTGCATATTATGAGCATTCAATTCTCTGCTAGCTAATGCAATTGAGGTGAAAATTTATGTGCCCCCATTTGGGATTGCCATTGTATTGGCTTATATAAGTAGACTGCACAAACACACACACCTTTTTTGAAACTGTTGCCTTAGTGGCTGCTTGTCTCCTTAAGTCCTGTGGTTAAGCAGAGAAGTGCTTAGCACAAGCATAGATTTTTATTTAACTTACAGCTGGCCAGATATTTGCTTCATGGTAAAAGCCCATATGAATGCATTGTTTTTAACAGGATGGAAAATTCATTAACACCCAAATTTAGGAGGGAAGCGTGCAGGTGGCTTTGGGTGTTGCTATCTTATGTTCTCCAAACTCTTTTAAACTTTCTTTTTTTTCCTTACATTATATTGAATGAAAGAGCTGGGGTGTTAAATTGAAAAGCTTTCATGTGAAATTCACTGGTTATAACTAAGTTTCAGTAAACTAAGCATTTGTAAACGGAGCTATCATGATGGTGTAAGTAAACACATTTTAATAATTTGATGCTTTGCTTCATTGCTGCCTTCCCCGCTCCCATCCCGTGCATAGTCTTCTTGACTTGACCACTTAGCAGGATAGTAGTAGATGAGCCAGAAAAGCTTTGCTTTGCCACACTTCTGTTGACTTCATTTGGGTTTCAGTGATGAAACAGAACCACGAGAGTTCAACAGTCTGCTAATAGCACAGTGCTGCAAAGCATCAGATGTATGAGGAGTCCTACTGCACTAAAGTAATTTTTCCTGAGACAGCCCTTTTCTGAGAAGTTTGTGTGGTTTGGTTTTTGTTCTGATTTTTTTTTTTTAAGCCTGAGATCAAACTGCAAAATCTGTAGCACATCCAAACCTAAGGTCTTGTGACTGAAAGTAAAACAGCAGTATAAGGATTGGTCTGTGTATCAAACTAGTAGAGAAAAGCAGAAATTATAACTAAGTAGGATTTTAGATATCAGGTGCTGTTAGTTTTTAGCAAAGAGGGGTTTTTGTTGGCTTTTGTTTCATTTGGGTTTGTTGTTGCATAGATATTTTTGTTGGTTTTGTTTGCCCAGGAGGAAATTCTACCTGTGTTTTCTTACTGTTATCAGACTAATATTTCTCCTGTTCATAAGTATCATGGGATGAATTTTTTTATAGCAATACAACTGTGTTACAGCAGTGTAACAAAAACCAAGAGTGACAACAATGCTAACTGATATTGCAGCCAGTTTATTTGTAGCTGATAAAACACACCGTTGCACTTAGGTTTTAGTTGTCCTATCATACACATTAACGTGAAGTATATGTGCTTGCATTTTTCTGAAGGAAGCAGCTTGATAGATAGTAACCATCTCAAGAAGCAAAGGGAGAAACTTAATCCACTGTTTAACTACTCTTACTTTTTTATGAGAGGAGAAAATGAGTCATAACTAAGGCAGGGGAAGGATAAGATAAATAAAAGCTTCTCACAATAATAGCCAATAATAATTACAAAAAGTACCATGCAGATCTTAGGATCTGGCTGTTGAGAATAATATATTTAACAGCAACTTTCTTTGGTAAATTTGTGAGAATGAGTGTCAGAATATTTAACTGGGAAGGCAGGCATTCCTTCTTGTAATGAATATCTTGAAAGGCCTCTCTTTTTTTCAGTGAACTGTGCATAAAGCTCTGAACAGGACAGTCATTTTCATGTAGTCAGTCACTTGAGGCTCTACCCAGCACTTGCTAAAATCAATGGCAAAATTCTTGCTGACTTCAGTGAAGCGGCTGGAACCTCAGATGTACGCATGTTCTCTGTCATGGGGGATAATGCCTGCTTTCTTCTTCCCTGTAAATTCTTGAGTAGTCTTACCTACATATGACGATGTAGACTGTGAAATGTCTAAGTTCTAAGCACTGTTATTTTTTTATTTTTTTTCTTCCTCTTCTGCTTCAGCTGCAAAGGCCGACATCCAGTCAGTATATCCATACGTGTCTCTATATATATTCCTGGCATGAATTTACATCACTTTCATTTAAATGTAGGATTAATACCATAATGTGTAAGCACATATTATAAAATGGGAACCTCCTTCCACATAAATTTCTTATTACCTTGATTTTGTAGAATATGTAAGTTAGTGTTTAGTAGTGAAAGCTGGTTAATTACTTTCAAAAAGCTACGACAAAAGAGAAAATTTTATGAAGATATACTTGCTCTTTTCTTACTGTTTTGGCATATAAGATAATCAGAACAATGCTTTTGATTAAAGACTATTGTTAGAATAGCTATACGTAAATTGTAAATGATGTGGTTTGAATTTTGATGGAAATGGCTTTTTGTTCTCATCAGCTTTGCTTCTATTTAAGGTGAAGAGAAGCAACGCAAGCTTGTTCTTCAGTCATTTTCAGGAAAAAAATATATTTAGAAATTTTTTATTTCTATTTTGTAAACAAAACTGAACAACTTCAATAAATAATGGAGGGAAAAGGACAAATAGTCAGAGTGCTAGCTTTTATTCATAGTTACCCATCTATCTTCTGTGACTTAACAGTAGGGTACAAAGATCCTAACATGGTTGTTCCTGACATTGTGAAAATAATACTGTCCCTGTCCTGAAGAGCTTGCAATCTAAACATTCTCCTTTTTCATATATTTAGTCAGTAAGAATAAGTTAGAGAAATTAACTTAAATAATTTTACCAACCAGATAGCTTTGCCAAGTGAAGCTATTTGAAATATTTAAAAGTGTGAGCATGCAGTATTGAAGGGACATAGATAGCACTTATTTGCTTCAGTCTCCGGCAGACTCTTTATGCATGACTTGGTGGAGACTGCACAGATACCTGGAGTTTATAGGAGTAAAAACTTTAATATTGTTGGGTTAAGTCTAATGAACCATAGTGTAACAAATAAGCCATTGGAAAAATATTGTAAGCTAGCGAAGGTGTTGTTCTAGATGTAAAATAAGCAACTGTGCTCAGAGGGCTCAGTTTTCTATTTTAAGGAGAAAATATTTTAATGAAATATTTTTAATGAAAGCAAATAATGATAAATAACATTCTATTTGTACAGCAGCGAAGATCTTAAAATACAGCCTCTGCTCTTGGGAAAAAATCAAATGAAACAAAGGATCTGTCAGAACAATGTGGAAGAAAAGCAGAAAATCCAACCATTACTGGGACTGTGATCAGTAAGAATAATTTGTTTCTGCCATCTTCCACAGGCTGTGTGAACTTTAGTTTTCATTCTAAAACCAAAATGCGAGATCAGGTGTCAGCTTGATTTCATACCAGGTAAAAACATTTAGGAGAGGTATTTAAAGGAGTAGAAGGAAAACTGTAGACTAGGGTGCAGATGTTTCAGATGGCTCGGTTGCAGCTTTTTGATAGTGAAAAACTTAAGTTTCCACAATGTGTGATAAAGGTCAAAATCCTTTTCAAAGCAATGAGGAAGGAGAGCAGCTGTTCAGCAGGTAGTATATAGAAATAAGTCTTCCACAAAAGCATTACCAGATAAGTATATAAATTTGTAGGACTTTAGCTGTAGTAAATTAAAATTATGCATCCAGTGG